TTTGCTCAAGAGTCCTGCTCACCATGCATTCGGTTGCTGGTCTGGAAACCTTCATCCTCTTTGTCAACTGTGGCTGGTTCTAAGCAGAAGGTGTTTATGTTCTCATCAAGGTACCAGCTGAAGTTTTCATCTACAATGCTAAACATCAGGGCAAAAGCGTTAGCAGCACCAGTCCCTTCTATTGAGGTCTCGTCTGCAGTTCCTAAATTGCAAACGAAAAGGAAAGTGATACAAAAAGCCTTGGAGGGCATTGAATTTAAAAGTGACAATAACTTCGGAGCACTCGAGGAAATACAGTGCTCTGCCTGTGATCTGTAGGGCAGGATGAATCTCATCTAATTTTGCTCTTCTAAAACATCTTGAACCCCCTCCAACAGCCTTTGAACAGATGAGTGCCCCCAGAAGGCAGTTCATCTCATCTAAGTCAAGCTGATAGTTCAGGATCTCTTTGATTTGACATGACAATTACGGGCCAATGTCTGTGGTCCCATTTTCCCCATCTTTGGCTCACTGCACCCAAGCCTGCCCTTTAGTCGGTGTTAGCATCTGTGTGCCTACACTGTGAGCCAGGTCCAGCCATGGGCCTGATCCAGCCAGAAGACGGTAACTTGTTTTGACCAGGAATTAAGGACAGGCAAGTGGTAGCCTGCATTTCTGTTGCATTGAAGCAACCAGTAAACCATACCCTCAGAATGGCTGTCTAAGTGTGGCTCACTCTCTGTGGACTAACGGGGGTGCCTCAACAATTATCTGGGACTAGATGCTTAAATTTAAAAAGGCTGAAGGCAGGATGAATTTAATCTATTCAGACTAAGTTCAGTTATCTGAGTGACTATTTGAGGAACATCCTAAGACTATAGGAGTGGCGATACTGAGCAGTCTATTATTGACTGTTGGCAGGTTTAGTCTTCATCTAGTCCTCCAGTCTACCTCTGAACTCATAAAAACCTTCGCTTCCTCTGTCTCCTATGGGAGGGAGCCCCAGAGCCTTGTTGTCTGTCCTGTAAGGAGCCACCCAGCACCACTGGATGGAGAATTACAGCCGTAGCACCATGCAGATATCCACCTTGATGAATTCAAGTCCAAATGTGCAGATAACCTGGCCTTTCAGGCTAGGATTGTTCTGAATGTTCTATCACCTGATTTCATGTATTATCACACAGTTATTGTCTCATTTTCCTATATTCAGGCAGTTCTGCAGATTTCAGAAGCCCTCTGGGAGAATGAAAGTCTGAGACATTTTAATTGTGCAAGTTAGTCTGGAGACCAGACCTATTCTTTCCATGTTGAAGTTTTTCCTTTGAGTATAAAACCCGCTTCACTTACACATTCTGTATATAAGATCAGGGCTGATTTTGTACTGTGGGAGGTACTGGAAAGAGGTGGACGAGTTACATGTGCCCAGGGGAGAGGAGGTGACAGTTCAGCTGATAGAGGGGAGAGGGCTGGTACATGATCCCTGACAGCTCCAGCACAAAATTAGCAGGCTATAAAGTACACGGGACAGGCTGTAACCTCAGCTACTCAGCACACATGCCCGTATGGTTGTGATACACAACTTGTGAGCAAAATTAAACATATGATCCATATGGGGAAAAATTACAAAGAACATTGGGGTTTCAAATACGTAAATGGCAATGCTGAAGTCACCCTCCCAGCCCTAATTACATTTCCTGGGGAATGAGTCCTTTGCTTGTCCTGAAATTATCCCAGTTTGCAACGTTTATTTTCGGTCTTGGCCATGACTGGCTGGCCACAGAGCATGCTGCAGTCCCTCCACCAGCTGAGACAAATCTCTCTGAAGCCAAAGGGGAGCAGGAAGGGAATTGTCCCATAGCTACAATACCTACCCTGGGATGCTCCTGGAATGGCCCAGCTATTCCTTGCCCCTTTTTATGGGCTATGTAGGGATAGACTTTAGACCATCATGTTTATACCTGTAAGCAAAAATGACTGTTAAGATGCCAAGCTTGGCAGAGGGGCTTGCTTTGTCAGTGTTTCTAGCTCAGTACCTTTTTTACAAACCAGCAGTGGCCCAATTAAACCAGATGCAATATCTCTTGGTGTGTCAATGTGAGAATGGTAAATCCAAGTCAAGCAGTTTGAGTCTGCCAAAGTTGGGGAATAATCTTTCCTTACTGGCCATGTGTACGTGTAATTTCCACCAGGAACAACAAAGTCGTCCTCTTTGCTTTTACCACCGGTTCCATCAGGGTAAAGTGCTCCTAGTACATTAAAAGGAAAAAGGAAGCTTTTAGCCCCTCCTTAACAGATTTCCTTAAATAAATGTGTAATTTTTTCTATTTTGTCACAGATTTATAAAATAATAACAGCACTTACAAGCACAGAATCACTGAGAAATTGTGAAAAAAATCAGAATTCTGATAAAATGGTCCAAAAAAAGTAGAGAATTAAAAACTATTATTTATCAGTAGGCAAAGATTTAAAAATTCATTAACAGCCCTAATTTTTTCTTGGTTCTTTAGTCTCATCAGTCATCTACGCATTTTGTCAGCTAACATTATGTATCTTCTCACAGAGAACTGAAGAGAGTAATGAATGTAGGCAAATCTGTACAGGCCTCTAACAAAAGTACACATGCATAGGTATGGGATTCTGAAAATTAAATGATGTCTGTTATAGGCCTGTAGAAAGCAAAACATTTACTTACAAGAACTCCATCCATTCAAACAGGGTAGAAGTAAAGGAAGGAACGAAGATGCTTCAGTGACTTATAATTCAGAAAAATATTTCAGAAAAGATCCACCTAGCCTGTTTCAGTACTGGATTTATCCCAGGCATTAAAAGTTTGTGGCAAAAAGTCTTAAGAGACACGGATGTTCCTGGTTTTAGTCATCAGATACAATTACTGAGGGTGATCTAAAGCCCTCTGATGTCAGTGGTCAGAACAATAAATACTTGGACAAACTCTTAACCATAATATTAGCTACTCCAGGGAAAAGGGAGAGGAAAAGGCAAACCAGCTTTTACCTTCAGAGTCCTTGTCATAGAAGACCCCATGCGGATGCACAGAGTATGGGCGGGAAGCAAAGTTTTTTAGGTGTACAATAAAGACATCCTCTTCTTCTGCCTTCAGGACTGGTCCAAGGAACCCCAGCCAGGCTGCTTTAGGGATCTCCTGGGAATAAGTGTCATCTGTGAATTGCCTAAAAATAGCCTTTTTGTACACACGTCCTATCCGGTTGGCTCCTCTTGTTGCATACACACTTGCAAACCTAGTGTTGGGAAGGGAAAAATAATTTAGAGAAAAAACAACTCCTTTAAGAGTTTGATCAAATAACTGGTGCTTGCAGTGGAGATAAATAGTTCCCTGGGACATATCACATAGCTGGTGGAATAAAAGCTGAGGAGTAAACCTGAACAGCACTAGCAGGGTCCAAGCCGCTTTCTATACAGTAACAGTCATCCTACTTGCAGGCCTGGTCTTTAGCACAGCTACTACAAGTCTCCACTTGAGGACCAGCCACTCGGGCCTTTCTGTACAGTTTTAACAGCTTCTCCGTCTTTTGAAGGTTTGAAACCTCAGATCTGAAAGCATGACTGTTCAGAAGAAAAAAAAAAAGCAAATTAAGTTTTTTCAAAAACATTTAAGAGCGATTCTAATCAACTAGTTTGACAACCCGGAAGAGTAGTATGAAATTTTTTTTGCATTAAATGTATAATTTCTACATTCCAGAGTCTATGTTTAGCAACTTCAAGTGATGGAGAACCCACCACATGGTCAGTGGTTGACATATTATAGCTATTAAATACCTGCTTCCTTTGAATCCTGAATTGCACACTCCACACCACTGGTTCCCATCAAGCTCTCTCTCAGATCAAAGAAGCCACATACCATCAAGAGCTTCTTTTCTATGCAGGCACTTGCATAAGTTTAATTAATTGATTAAATTGCCTCCTACCCCTTTTCTGGACACACCAAGTACACTGACATTATTTGTGCCACAAATCTTTCCTGAACATCTGTTCTGAAAAGCCTTTCAATATTTCTCTATCTCTTTTGAAGTCTGAACACAAGAACTTCACACAATATGCAAGTAATATTCTAGTTAAAGCCAGAGGTGCTGCCAGTCAATAGTTGTGTAAGACACCACTGGGAATTAGTTTTGCCCTTTTAACTATAACGTCATACTGGCAACCCATGTTCATCCCATCTGTTATGATATAAAATCTTTTTTTACTTCTCTCCACATTACAGCTGACAAGTATAACACACATTCTTCATGCCTAAACATCCCACACAAAGAAGGTGGAAATTTACCCCTTTGCTACACAATCAGCAGTGGACTGTATGACCAATTTCACCATAGTTGACTACTCCGTGAGTTTTTGCATTCTCGGAAGATTGTTTGAACTTTCATGCTTCCTAACAAACTCATCAAAAAGCTGAGCTAAACTTCTTCTGAAGTATTACTGGCAGAATTATAGCAATTTCATATTTATAGTGAGTTTTTCTGTCTGGCCAGTTCATCTGCTTGAACCCATTTTCTTTAGGTTCTTTTGTGCAGTGCCAGCAACATAAGTGTTGAAAGGTATGATTTGCTATAATTTCTTCACCATAAGATCCACTACTCCCACTTTTCAAGTCATCTCTGCTTGACACCATAACTCACAACATCCCTCATCTGTGGTCATTACACCTCTGGTGCCACTGTCTAAACCAGATCCCTGAAGTGATCCAGATATAAAAGCCTCCAAAAAGAATGCTTTTTAATTTGAAAAATTTGGTTTATAACAAGCCAAGAGCTATTCTGGCACAAATTAAAATGTTGCCAATGATACTTCTGTGGCAGAAACAGTTGGACAGGATGGAGGGGAAGGGACGGAAGCTTCTCAGTCTGCTTCTTTGCAGAATAATGTATGTCAGATAAATACACCCCAAAAGCATGGTTAAGGAATGAGTTGCCAAGAAGTCTGGATTTTCAGTGAATTAGCAGGTCTGTGGTAGCTGTCTGTGTGCACAGCAAGACCTGGCAAGTCACACCATGCTCACCAAGGAGAAGATACCTTCCACTGCCTGGGGGGAAGAGCTGCTGCAAAAGCCCTTACCACAGAGTAGTAGGTGGTGTCAATAGTAGTACAGTGTGAACACATGTGCTTCCTTACCTCATGGCAATGTACTCATAGGACTATGCCCTAATTTGAATTATGAATTGATTTTTAAAATTGTTTATAACAAATTTTCTCTAGAAAAAATATCAAGAAGTTTTTTTTCAGAAAGTTCTTATTTTCAGGAGATATTTTTCAGCAGAATTTTCCCCATTTTCATCACCCACCAAATATTTTAACTGAGGTGCTGCAGTGACACCGTGTTTCCCTATGATGACTGTGCCCTTATGCCCTTGGCTTTCTGGACAGACAACATTGCACGCTCTGCTGTAGCTTCACACCCCTGGGTTATGCTGTCTCTCCCACAGAAGGAGAACTGTACCCCAGAAAAATGCACTTCTTGATCAGGCTTTGTCAAATGCTTGACATGAGTCTAACTCCTTTAAGTGCATAGATCAGGGATACCGAAATCCAGTTAGGTATTGAAGTTCAAGAAATCACCCTGAGAAAACCCTGTAGGTTTATGCACCAGAGACTTTCTCAGCACCTAAAACCATGCTGTAAGATCTCTGTTGGCTAGAGCTGTGCCTGTCTCCTACTGAAACCCATCTAGGAGTCAAGAGAAGAAGTCTTTTTAGCGCCAGCTTTCTGAAAGGAGGCCACCCATTCTGAGCTGCAGAGCCCACTGTCAGTGCAATGGGTATCAGCTGCAGCCAGTCGCAAGGTATGTGGTGCTCTTCTGTGCAGGGGGCACCAAGCAAGACAAGAGTCATGGAGCCAGAAAGGAATCACAGCATGAAAAGAACAACCTGGCTTCTTGGCCTGGGTTAATCATGGGTTTTGTTTAATCATTGTCCAAAAGAAAACAACTGATCAACTCTGGGAGATAAATCCTACATGACACTGATGCCCTTGCTGTTGTGTTACCGACACAGGATCTTTCATAGCTTACTTTCCTTCTAGATCCTTCTAGATCCAAAGGGCAGAAGAATTTCCTACCCAAAATGCCCTGATGTTTGGGAGTTTCTTGGAGTACAGACACTTCAGCTTCTCCTTCTGTCTAGGACAGGTAGAGCCCAATTCTTCTACCTGTTCAGAGATATGTATTTTCAGCATATCCTTTTGGTGGCCTTCAGTACCTGAGAACAGAGCACACTGGTTGTTGTGAGTCCCACCCTAGGTGTCCAGGCTGCCCCATTTCATCCAGCAGGACTTTTGGGTGCCCATCTCAGCCTTGCAAGTAGCTGGTAGCTCTGGGCTCCTTTACAAGTGTTGCTGTGCTGTACATTACAGTGCTTAAAGTCCTTTGCAGAAAGGCTACCTACGCCGGAGCTAATGGTATGAGCCTAGGAACCTCATAGAAAGTATGCATGGGTGTAAGTGACTTCTCTGCACTCCCAAATGTCTGGATCATGGGCATGTGGCCACACTGTGGGGCTGGTACCTCTACCCAGTGCCACAGCGCAGCCAGTGGATGTGTCGGAGGGGGCTGGCACAGGCTCAATGCCACAACCCCTACTGCTCCATCAGTGGGACACAGAGGTTTCCCCCTGTCCCTCTTCTTTCTTTCAGTGAAAGCTTCTTCTCAGTACTCCATGAAGTCTCTGCTGCCAGTGCCATTTGTACCAGCACATCTCTCACCCCACAGTTCCTTACCACCCATCTCCGGAGTCCCTTAGAGATTTTCTCAGCTTCAGGATGGTGTTCTGCTGACCTTTCATCTCCTGTCTGACAACAGAAACACCATTCCCTGTCTTCTTTTGATGGTGTCTTCTTCCTTGGGTAACACTTCATTTTTTCAGTCACTGAGTTAAACATCCCCTTCAACTGCATCTCCTGTTTCATTCTTTCCCAGCCACTAACTTACCAATATATTATTGTAGCAGTGGCTTCCCCAAATGCTGTAATGGTTAAACATATCCAGTTCTCTGAATCTGTCTTTGCCTCTTTCTTCCAGCAGCCACAAAATGCCTATTCTACTGGGCATCCCCTGCCAAAAATGTCTCCTATCTGTCATTCCTCTCTTGTCACAAGAAGAGGAACCTTCTCCCTGCTTCTTCATGCTCCCCTGCTCACTTCAAACTACTTCATCTTCCTGGTGGCTTTGTGATACCGCTGCCTGAACCTCTTCCATGTTTCTGGTCTTGTGCAAATGTAAGAGCTGCTCTTCTAAATCTTGACTATCTCCCTCCAACTCTATTGTCAGCCTGCACTTCATGTGCAGAACGTTGTGATGATCAGCCAGTCCCACTTCTTATAAGAAAGGGGAATACTCCATCCTCTGGAGCTGTGTCCATGCAAGCTTCCTAAATTCCCTCCTTCATCTCCTCCAGTCAGGCAGTCTTGAGGTTCCAAATAGAAGTAAGCAGGCTTGTAAATCAGTGCATAAAAAGTCTTGTTCAGACTAAGAAAACCATGCAAATCCTGCCTTTATTTCTGTGCCTGATTTCATTTTGCCAGTTGACCACTCTCAGCAGTTCTTAAGCTCCGAGAAAAGTTGGCAATGCACGAGTGGGACAGGGAGTTATTAACAGGGAATTAACTCTAATTCCTTAAAATAAGTGTGTAGTGGTTTAACCCCAGCCAGCAACTAAGCACCACACAGCCACTTACTCACTCCTCCCCCCTCTCAGTGGGATGGGGAGGAGAATCAGAAAAAAAAAAGTAAAACTCATGGGTCAAGATAAGAACAGCTTAATAACTAAACTAAACTAAAATATAATAATAACAATAATAATACGCTATGATAACAATAATAATAATAATTGTAATGAAAAGAAATATAATGAAACTATTTATCGTGCCGCTATCCGTCATATTTGAGAATTCGTAGCAGTCTGGTGGAGTTCCCACTGGCTGGAAAAGGGGAAATATAAGGCCCATTTTTAAAAAGGGAAAAAAGGAAGGGGAGCTACAGGCCAGTCAGTCTCACTCTGTGCCAAACAAAATCGTGGAGTAGATCCTGCCAGAAAATATGCTAGGGCACATGGAAAATAAGGAGGTTACTGGTGACAGCCAACATGGCTTCACTAAGGGCAAATCGTGCCTGAATAATTTGGTGGCCTTCTACGTGGAGTTACAGCATTGGTGTATGAGGGAAGAACAACTGACGACATCTACCTGGACTTGTGCAAAGCATTTGACACTGTCCTGTGTGACATCCTTGTCTCTAAATTGGAGAGACACAGATTTGATGGGTAGACCAACTGGTGGATTAGGAATTGGCTGGCTGGTCACACTGAAAGAGTTGCAGTCGATGGCTCAATGTCCAAGTGGAGACCAGTGACAAGTGGCGTTCCTCAAGGGTCGGTATTGGGAACTGTGGCGGGTTAAGTGTGTCTATAATGGTTTCTTTCCTAGAATAAACTTCTGCTTCCCCTGAAGTCAATAACAAAACTTATCTCAGGCTTCATTACGGCCAGGATTTCACCTCGAATGCCTTTTTGACATTGACCCTTCCCACAATGATTATCTCCACTGGTGCAATTGGGTCATTTGGCCGCATGATGACTCAGACATTAGTTAGCATCTATGACGACAGTTTCACTGTCATTCATCTGGGTGGGATCTGCTCACAAGCAAATTGCACAAACTGTTTGATGCTGTGGTAAAAAAACCCACCCATTAGTGTTGGTGGGTACAGGACTTGACCCGAACAAAGGTAGGATTGGTGACCTAAAGAGAAAGGATGATCTGTTACATCAAGAAAAACTTAATAACATCTACCACCAGTAGAGCAAGATTTAAGTGTCCATCATATAAACTAGTACCTAGTTAATTTAAAGGAATTATCAACTAAACTCTAATCCTGAGGGCTGAGGCACCATAGGGAGGGAAAGACTGATGTGTGTCAAGCCACAACACCTAGGTGTGCTTTTCTCTTGAAAGGCTATTGCCTATGTGACCATTAAAGGGAGCAGACCATGTCTGAGCTTACCCTCCTACTGCAGCAACACTCATGCCCCAACCCACAAAATCTCACTGAGATCTGCAGCACATTCAGCAGCACTGACAGCACCTTACACCGTGTGTCCTGTCCACCATCGTTTAATGATGTCAGCTCTTTCACCAGTTATATCAGGTGGGAGGGGATGCTGAACACCTTCCAGCTCATGTATAGTCAGTGGCCATAATTAGGATCTGTGATTTCCAAAGTCCTGTGTGCTTCAGAAAATATCAGCTTAATTTTGAAAGGGAGAACTGAGAGTGAAATGTCTTGATTTCATTCATAACCCTCCAAATTATGAGAATTAGTGTAACAGCTCGAGGCTTCAAGTAGACAAGACAGACGGCAGAGGCAAACAGCCTCATTACTTTCCTTCCATAAAAAGCGCTAATGCACAGCAAGACACTTGCTCTGTGCAAGCAGCAGGCTGGCCCTTGAGCATTGCAGCAACACAAGGCATAAAAAAAATTAGCATCCAAGCAGAACAGTTCTGTTAACACAGGGCTGCGTTTGGGTTAATCAGCTCTGACAAGAGGCAGCCTTTTCAGCTCACACCCAGGGAGGTGCTGATGCAGCTCTACGGCTCCTGGCTCAGGAGGCAGCTCACTCAGCACCAGCACAGCGGGAACTGAGCAGCGTAGCTGTGGCTGGTGCCAGAACCAGCTCACCTGATTTCCAGCCCCATGCCTCAGCTACCGAAGTCTCCCTTCTCCTCTTTACTGCTAAAAACTAAAGGCTGAGGAAAGTATTATTGACTTTGGCATAGCAACATTGAAAAATCACCTCTTCAATCTCACTATCTGATCCAGGTAACGTAACACTTTCCATTACACGCTTGCTGATTCAGCATTTTTATTAAGTAGTGAAGAATAAGTGGTTCTGATTATATCTCTGTGGGCCAGCTGGAATCAAAGGGGACATTTCTTTATATGTATGCACTGACTCTTTTAAAGATAATCAGTTTGTCTGCAACCTCTTTATCTTCACTTGCTTATCAATAAAACTGGGATAGTGCCCCATCAGGTGGGTGCTGTGAGGATGTATCACAAGGCGAGAAGTGCTAGGCTCAGCCAGCCTGAGTGTTGCTGCTTGCAGAACACAGCTGGCTCAAAATGCATTCCTGTCCCTACCTAGGAACTGATCCTTAAATTTTGTTTATGGAACATGTTTTTTTATAATATCCATAGGGCCCAACTAATTAGCTGAAAAGTAACCCTTTAGTATACTGCTTTAAATTTACATTAGAGCTTATCCTAAAGAGCTAAATAGTCAAAATAGTTATTACTGGTACACTATTTAGTCCACACGCTTATGCAGACACACTATTAGTCCAGAATATAGCACTTTATTCTGGCTCAAATCAGTACAGTTTGGAAATGGTGTAAATTAGTTACAAGAATGTCTTTATTATTCTGCACGTAGGGAGTTCACTGCAAACAGCTCCCCAGTTTTGAATGTACAGTCTACATTAAAATCCTCTGTGGGTAAACCCTTTGGAATTAACATTCTGTAATTATCACATTACAGCGATGAGTGAAGACAAAGCTATCTTCCCTCCCTGTCATGCCATGTAAAAGGCATTACATTTATGTCACAGACTTTTAAGCAAATGTGCCACTTGTCCATGGAGCACAAAGTGCAAACAGACTTAAAAATTCAATTAACAGAACAGATTCCAATCTCTCTATGGTATTGGTGTGGATTTACAAGTAGCTGCCCTTCACTTAAAGCTGAATTATTTTTAGTGAGAGGTCTTCCATTTCAGGGAGTGGAGAAAGGTATCCTCTGCTAAAAAGAGTAGGGAAGTGAGAAATACAAGTGTTTAACACAACTGAAGAACAGCCTTTCTGGCAAAGCTTGTTTTCACGGTCTGGGAACAAACTATTACCCTGAATTCCACCTATAAAGGTAACACCTGTTGACTTGGATGCTATCTGAGACCTCTAGCCATTAAATTTGTGTTGAAAAATAAAACTCTTTCTTGCCGCCTGCTTGTGGCAAAATAATTTCTTTTATGAAATCCATCTGAGAGTGATTCTGAAATTAGTGGCCACTAGACAAAAGTCCAGCATTGCTTGAGATTCCCTGAAAAATCAGAAAAGACGTTTTCATTTCTAACTCCTGGGACAGAGCATCCAGCTCCCAGTGTGCCTCCAGACCAGGTATGGACACCAGGACCTCTTCACTCTTTCACAGCTCTCACCCCAACCCCAAGCCTAGACTCAGAGCAAGGACCCCCCCAAACTATAGCTAGGCTGTCGAAGATATCAGTGAAATCTTAAAAATATTCCCATACATGTTTGAAGCCCATGCTGTAGAAAGGCACCAAGGGTCTGTGCCACCCCCCCAATGTCCAGGCCAGCTCTCCTGGTGTAGGAAGGACACACAGTGAACCCCAGCAGTACAGGCATGAAAATGGATGCCTGTTTCCGCTGGCCAAGGCACGATTCACCACAGTGCTTACCTACACACTCCAGTTTCAGCACTGTGATTGCCAGGACTTCAGTTGTTTTATGTTTAAGCAGTTGTCTAAACAGATTTCCTAAATAGAAGTCTCCATAGTTGCATACAGTGGAAGGATATATGGACCATATACTTGTATATCATTTGTAGGTACTATACACATCTGAATTTTACAATATCATACCAAGCCCCTCATTTTTATCATCTCACAGTGAGAAAAGTTACAATCTTTTGGCAGTTAAACAGACTTCTATATATTATTGCAAAGAGCTGTTCTTGATTATGGCAAAGTTGCAATTTGCCTTTGAACAACAAGTCCCAGAAATACTTGCATTTCTATGAAACACACACAGGGGATTTTGAGCCCACTACCTGACACTTTTTTCACAAATATGAGTTCCTTAATGTCACCTTCAAATACACACTATCCCCTTGCTTAATCAACCACAGTGGAAGAGAAGTCAACCAAAGTCTACTCTTGCCTTGAAACTGAAATCCTACCTATGGCAACATCATCAGAAGAAAACCAAGGAGAACGCCATCTTAAGACATTTACAGCAACATTAACCATGTTAGTCAATTTTCTTTGGAGCTGTCAATACATCTTCAACTTATCAGAGCCCCCAGTGACTTACTTGTCCTCTAAGAGGTTTTGTCCCGTGATCAGATTTTTCCCAGACGGTGCATAGTCCCAGTTCTCTTCCACAATCCCGAGGTAATAGGTTCTGGTCTTTGCATCCACCACCACAAACAGCCAGAGGAACCCGAGAGTGCGAAGGCAGCCACCATGCTGCGCAGGAGGCATTTGTAGTTGTGATTGTGAGGCTGGCAGAGGGCAGGCAGCAGCAGGATGCACCACAGAGAGCTCACCCCTCCCTCCCAGCTCTTGACAAGTTATAAATAAGGAACGGACAGAGAAAGCTCCTCCTTTTCAGCAGGTTAGGACTGGGATAGGTAGAGGGCCTGGCTATGCAGAGCAGGGCTAGGGAGGAGGTAGCTGTCATGGCAGGACCTTTGCCAATCCTTCGGTGAATGCATAAATTGCTCACTTACCTGTGCAGGCTAGAGCCAGTTGGCATTTTTTGGAAGTCTGGACGCTTTCTTGTCCTGCTTTTTCTAGACTAGGTGGTATGGCATATTGTCATATTGGGGCAGAGGCTTTTTTGGCATCCTTGTCAAAACCCTTTTTTTAAATTCTAATTTAAACTCCTTTTTCATGTCTGAGATTTCTATAGACAGCATCTTGCTGCCTTCATTGGGTTTTTTCAATGACACGACACTGGGTTATAATGCAGCATTATCAGAGAGAGAGAGAGAAAGAATTTGCCAGTACTTCTCCAGTTTCTAGGATTTTCTGACACATTTATTAAGATTTCAAGTGATCTGCATATATTCAGTTTTAGAGTGCCCAAAATGAGGACCCTTTTACAAACATTTCTGGATATTAGAGTCCTCATAAAGTCTTTCCATTTGGACACCTAAGAATTGAGGCACAAAAAGATCACCCTTTTATTAACCTTGGTAATTAACGTGCCCACGTAGCTCTCTAGAAAATCAGTCCCTCCTTTTATACCTTAACTTCCTCTAAGAGGACATGTCTGTCACCATCTTGGCAAAATCAGGTGTAAACCTATATGAATATGACTTGATAGGGTATTCTAAAACAATTAAGAAATATTCCCAAAACTATCACCAAGGTTTTCAAAATTGTACTGCTTTCTTACTAACTTTTGACAAAAGACATGAAAAAGTTTCAGTTCTGGAATACGGCATTACTCCTGAAATTCACTGTGAGATTTAACAGTTGTGAAATTCCCCTTTTATCTCCAGAACTGTCTGACCTCTTCCCATTGAAGCTAATGGTTACTCATGGCTGGGGGTTCAAGAGGCCTCACAAATGAATTCAGTAGACACATCGTCAGTCAAGACCTAGCTTGTTCACATAGACCATGTGAATGTGGTTTCATGCGGCAGTCGCGTAACGTTCACCCTCTGGCACATGGCAGCGACAGCTGTATCTACGGTCCGCTGTACTGAACGCCTCTCTCCATCACTGTGTGCAGGTGGCTCTGAAATCGCACAGAGACTAACTCAAAAAGCAGGGGAGGTTCACAGCAGCCCAGCATCCAGGCACCGGGACCGTGGTAGGTCTCATCTAAATCAAGAGACAAGGCACACAGGCACACAGAGTATCTTACTAAAGAAGCTTTTGGCTTCTTTAGGCTATGCTTTGCATTTCTTTAGCTGCAAGGCCTGAAAGCCCAGTATACATAGGTAAGGATACAATCAGACAATTGCAAATGGTCAGCTTAACATAGCTGTAAAAGCAAGAGTCCCTCAGCTGTAAGCTTCTCTCTGATACATGCTGATGTTCTTTATCTCAAGTTAGTTAATTGATGAATAATGAGAAGGAGGAGAAGTGATAGGACAATATAGATGTTGTACAAACAGAGATCCCAATCCTCAGAAGCAGCACCCACAGATTTGCTGACAACCTTGAAGATCTTGCTTATCTCTTAATTCTTCTGCTGCAAACCACACGCTGCCCAACCGCTTGGCCTCTCATGCCAATCTATATCCTCTCTTTCAAAATACCAATACATAAAAATCATCTTCCTTGTCCACTGCTTTGTTGTGTCACTTGGTTACTCAAATGCTGCGAGCTAATAGCACCGTGATTCTAAAAGGCATAACTAGAAAGCAAAAGAAAAGACAAATGACTGCAGGACAGGCAGAGGCTTTGCCAGCTGGTGGCACAGCTATCCAACATGCAACTGTGGTGGAACCAATGGGACAGCTGGTGGGCTATGAATCTGTGAAAAGGCCAAGGTGACACTTGGAGGTTAACAGGATCCCGCTGTGATCTTTTCACAGGGCCTGGGACCATGCAGCCTCCTGCAGTGAATACTTCCATTGCCCAGAGTAGCTGTCCTGAGCACAGGCAAGCTGCAAAATTCTTCTCTTGTCACTCAAGCACCTAAGTTTACAGAACTGGATGCCTGTTACAGAAATATTCATTGTCATAAAGTAGTAAGGGTTTTGCATTTGGATAGGAAATATGTTTATTTAGAGGGTAACATGCGCTTTGAATGGGATTGTGTAGAGTTCAATTTCAGCTATTTGCATGGCATTAGAGGTATTTAAAGACCAGGTACAAGGCCAGTTTCACCCAGAGAGTTCTGCTGTGACCTTCTGTCTGTTTGCTTTTTTGTAAGTAAAGAATGCTGTTATATGTTTAACATAAACCTATATATATGTGGACTCATATATCTCAAGTGCATTGAGCTAATGGGGAATAGGAAGGGGGAGTGTCCAGTTCTGAGCTGGCACCTGACTGCACTATAGTCATTTAAATAATAATAGTGTGATGTCCTACTTTTTCTATTGCTTCTCATGTGCCCAGGATTGGATCCTGGCTGCTTTGTTGCTAGAATAACTACTCAAAATTCAAATATGAACTTAAATTCTTTGTCTATTACCATAAAAATTATTTATGTAACAGGAATAATGTGTGGGCATTAGTACCCTGTATCAGCAATGTGTTGTAAGTCTGGTAAACGCCTTCGCTTGGCTTCAGCATTTACTAGATCTGGCAACTTGTGTTCCCTTTGCGTCCACACATTAACACTTAATTACCTTGTCACATCATTAAATCCAGGCACATTTACATTCCCGAGAGGTGCTGTGGGCATGACTCAGAAAAAGATGAAAGAACAGCTGTTTTGCCCTTGCATCAGGAAAATTTCTGGGAAGCTCCCCTCCAGCAGTGAGGTAATGGCATTAAGTTTGTCGCTTTGTTCAGGATCCTTTCAGCAAAAGGGTTGGATACTGGTTCCCCTGAGACTTTCTGTCCCTCTGAAGGCTAAAATTAGTGCATGGCTGGGTTTCAAAGTTTTGTAATGAGGAGCAATGTTCATAGGTCTGAAGGGCAAACATCTTGAGTACCAGTTTGTGAATGAGCCCTGAAACATCACCAATGGAGCTTTCTTTTTAAGTACATCAGGAATGATAGCGATGATTAACTTAATTTAATCCACTAAAGCTTGTGCCAAATAATGTTAGTGATTTAACTAGAATACCTAAGTTAACCTGGTGATGGCCATAAGGTCAATGAAGAGAGGCGTCGGACATTCTGCAGTTCCTTGAAATCAGGTGACATGAGTTCAAAGATGAGGACTCTATTCAGACTGCCTTCTACTGAAACCCAGCTTGCATTCTCCATTGGGCAGGTCATGAGCTGATGTTCAAGCAGATTCACTACCTGTTCCCTCTGCTTCTTCTTGATAGCAGTAGAGTCCCCATTCACAGACACTCCTTCCCAGTCCCTTTGTTATGTTGGTTTGTGTCTGCATTGCAATCCAGGTTGAGGAATCAGTCTGCCTCTTTCCAGCTGATGTTGCCACCAAACCTCTAGCTGTGCCTGTAGTGACCATCCCAAGGTGACAAAGAGTGCCTGTGGTAGAGCTGGGAACTGAGTTACACCCTCCCAAGTTTCACACCACACTTTTGGTGTTTTTTCATCAGTTTTCTCACACTCTCCAGCCATGAACACATATTAAATACAAAAGCCTCATAGTACATCTGTGAAAAACAATTTCTATTGCACTTTCTAATAATTCTGTGGGTTGCAGTAGTAGTGAGTGGAAGATAAACCTCATATTATAGTCTTGGATAGTCACACAAGGTATATCTGAACTACTTGAATCTTTTGAGTAGGTTGGAAATCTCAAAAACTATCTGCCCTCCAAGGTATTCACCACTTCTATTTGCAATTATGGATAGGACTTAGGTGGGAAAGGCTTCCTTGGCATATAGAGCACTTCCCAGGAGTACTCTAAGTCTGAGCACTGAAACTGTTGGAGACAGAAAGACAAAAAAGCTGCTGAAACTCCAAGAATAACAAGAATTTACAATCAGCGAGGATATTTGGAAGTGCAGCTGTAGCCCATAGTGCAGGCCCGCTGTGGGCCTGACTGAGGGAATGACTCAAGCTGCACCAGGATAGGTTTAGGCTAGATATTAGGAAAAAATTTTTCACCGAAAGGGTTGTCAGGCATTGGAATAGGCTGCCCAGGGAAGTGGCTGAGTCACCATCCCTTAATGCGTTTAAAGGTCATTTAGATGTGGTGCTTGGAGATATGGTTTAGGGGTGTACTTGGTAGAGTAGGGTTGACGGTTGGACTTGATGATCTCAAAGGTCTTTTCCAACCTGAATGATTCTATGACTCTGTGATTCTGTGACTCACATCTGCCCAGAAGTCTTTGTGGCAGGATAGAGACTGAACCCAGCCCTCCAGATTCCCACATAAGAGCCCGCATGGATCCCTGGTGTTGCCCTCCAGCTATTTCAGCTCAGTCCATGCAGGCAGCTCAGGGTCACAAGTGGACGTTTACCACAATGGTTGTCCAGAGATCATTACGGCAGAATAATTTTCTCTGTACATCTCTGTGCAGCCGCTGTCCTTGCAGAGCAGCTACTTTGGTACATTACCAGTTGTGAACAAATCTTGAGCCAAGGTGTGAAATGGAGAAGAGGGCTTGTGTTGTATCAGAAGCAGCACACAGATACTTTCTTTTCTATCATGGGTTTGAGCAAATCCTGTATCTGCCACACTAATGGCAAAGGATGATATCATAGCTGAATTTAGACCTTAGAGAACCATTGGAAAAAAAACACTTGAATTTGAAGATTGTAAAACAATGCAATAATGAGAAGGAAGGCATTTAACAGTGTACTGAAAGGAGCTGCAATTTTGAAGAGATTGTAATAAATTGCCAAATAGGCTGCGCAAGTGAAATGTGTTC